ATGATTGGACAATAACCCTCAGTGCAATACCTGTAAATATACCTCGTACAGATTATACAGACTCATACAGGTCTCTAGTACTCTGTTTTAAGTACTCCATTTTTATCCCTAATTATCTCATTTCAGTGAACATTCCTTTGTTGTCTGCATTGTTTAATGTCTATTTATACACCTTTTTCTGCATTGTTTGCACTGGTTGTTGATGTTAATACTGCTATTTTGTTATATTACACAGCCATATGCTGGTTTACTGTTTGCACATTGAGAGCAGATGTACTTGAGTCAAATTCCTTGTGTGTCCAACACACCTGGCCAATAAAGCTGATTCTGATTCTGATTGTAGCTAAGCCCGTAGCCATCACAGCCAAAACCACAGCCATCGTAGTGTTAGATTTTACACAGTTCTTTTGTTGAAAGCTCGAGAAGCGAAGACATACAAGGACTATGTAGAAAAATAGAAATTTATTAAAAGTCTGGTCTCATGTAAGGCAAACAGCAAACAGTGCGCGCTGGACTTGGAATGGCAAACCGGCTGTCGGAGATACGTCATCAAAAAGCCCCGAACCCAGTCTATTGTCCCGTTTTATTGTCGTGGGCGGGGACTGCTCTGAACAGAGGTTGGACTTTCCACGTGTCCTAGTGCAATTGGTCCTTGGCGTGAGCAGGTGTTGACCTGCTCAGGTAAGCTTGTACCATTCAACCAAGTGTGTTCCTTGTGGTTTCAGATGTCAGCTACCAGTGTGTATGTTTGAAGCTGTAAACCTTTGGCTCTATAGGCGATGCAGGACAATACAGACCTGTGATCATGCTAATGCAGACCAAATGGTTATCACATCGCATCAAATTTGGTATATCTCTGAAAGAAAAAGATGCAGAATTCTTGGTGAATAACTTTATGATTTTGGCAAAATATTATATTCATAAATGTAAATGGAGCAAAAGGAAACCTTGTTTAGATGCATTTAGGCATGAAATATCTGCATTTAAAAAATCCCTAGGCTACATGAGTGTTAAAGGAGCCCGAGATTTTTTGTCTGCAATTGGATGATTTGATTTATTATAAGCCCCTGGCTATATGTTTTAATTTATTTATTTATTTTATTTTATTATTAGTTTTTGTTCTCTTTCTTATATTATAAAAATAACTTTGGTTTAGCTGTTAATAGTGATTATGGCCGGTTGATTATATTCCTTCATAAAACATTCCCAAGTGCCACTTACAGTAAGTCTACATTGATTTGGGACTGTTTTGTTAATAAGTTCTGTAGACAATTTTACTTACTTGCCTTGTATGTTTGTAAATATGATGATGATGTTCAATAAAAAAAAAAAAAAGCTGAGTAAAGTAACAGGTCTGTAATTTGTATATGTGCCACAATGCACAAACCAACATTCAAGACTTAGCGCCCACTCACAGCGACCAGTAGCTATGGCTGCACTCATTCACACAGTGGGCGCAGCAAATGGCTATGGCTGCATTCGGAGCTCGGCCCTACTCGAGAAGAGCTCGGCCCTACTCCTGGGAGGAATTCTCTTATCGCATTGATGTTGTCTGTGCTGCAGGTGGTGGCCACATTGAACACTTGTAAGACAGGAAATAAAAGTTGATTGTGAGTAGAATACTTGTGACTTGGCTGAAGTTTTGTATTCCTTAATAAAATATTGCGTAATGAAATCGGTTCATTCTTTTTGAATAACCCTGTATATCAACTTTTACTGACATTTGGAATCCATTTCTAACCACTTTTAACTTAAATCAAATAGCTGGGGCCAAGGCCACACACCTTCCCCCAAACTCAAAGAAATCTAACAAGCTGCTATTATTTCATTATTGTTAGTGTTATTAGTCCTCATTATCCATGCTACTGTTTTGAGTATCACACCTATCAATCAAACCAGATTAACTGAGAATATAACCTACACCCCCTTTTCTTTCTTTTTCCCCTTTCCTTTCTCTTTCTAATCATTTACTTATTTGTTCATTTCATTTATTTTATTAATATGCGCATACATATATATCTGGGTACACAAATATATGTATGCAAAAGTATATATTGTCTCATCTTCTATGTTGTGTTCTTTGCAATTAAAAAACAGTAATAATAATAAATTAACAGCAGCCCTAGATGAAATTATTTTTATTGACACAAGTAAAAACGTTAACAATTTATATTCACAATCTGCCTTTTCCTAACATGCACATGATGAATTTTAGCAGACGTTTTGAGGTTATGTAGCTACATAACAGGATGTGATGAAGCAGATGGGATTCAGCAGATTCTCTTTGGTTGAACAGTGCATGTCTCATTGTAGCAGCTGGTAGACGTCCCTCCTTGTTACTGGATATGTCAGCACACAGTTTTCTGGGAATTTGATTCCAGGCATATTTCTCCCACTGATGAGTATGATTGGGAATATGGTGTGAAACTTAATGATGTCTGCCACGGAGTCAAACATCTGAGGAGATATGAGGTGCACACTTCAGTAAATATAGTGCTGTTGAGATTGCTAGTTGAACTGTCTTTATGACGTTTTCCACTCACATCAGTTGATCGTTGTCCCAGGACGTACTTGCCGGTGCTCTCGATGAACCGAATTTTTACATTGTAAACCTTTTTCTCGTGATACACAGCCAGTACCAAGGGTTCACTGTTGGTGTTGATGGAACAGTCTCGTACCAAAAAGGCCCCATCCTAATGTCAGGATTTTCAAAACAAGGACATTTTGGGAAACACACTTAGGCTTGCAGTTTCCTTCTGTTTCCAGTCTTTATGCTGTGCTAACCTTTAGTACACAGACATGAACGTGGTTCTGATCTTCTCATCTAACCTTTAGCAAGCAGTTGCATACATGTATTTATTTTAACTTTAGCCATATTTAGATCCATTTTTAATTAAAGCTACAGTACTTTGTTCAAATATTTTTGTTGTAAAAATCTGCTCCAAATCTTGTTTTAAGTTACACACTGCAGCTTTAATTTCATATAGAAATACCTTGTTCACCAGGTGCAGGGCATGCTCAGCATCTGCTCGATTACAAGTCCCAATATACCAGTCTTCACCATAGGTCTGCCAGTGGAGATCAGTGATTTCATTAATGTAATTAAACTTATATTCTTCATTATTTTGTTTGATTTATTAGGGAGCACCCACCTGCTGGGGCTTTTCCTTTGGGACAAATTCATGCTGGTCAGAGTTTTTAGTTTGAGGCCACTCATGGTGATGACGTTTTGATGGCACCATTTCTTTAAGTAGATGTTAATGTTGACCTATTTAATTAATTAATGTAAAATGATAGAGGTGATCTGCAACATAACTTACCTAGATTTTGTTGTGTCCTAAACAAAGGAAGACAAAACACATGTAAATCAAACATGATGATTTACTGACAAGTGTCCTTAAAAGCCTGAGAAATGAAAGTCACACCTTTCTTCTTTAATTTCTAGCGAATCCAAATCCAAAGAATATCTTTGGGTGGTACGGAGGGCTGAAACACCTTCAGCACCACGTAGACCTAAAAACACATCCAACATTATCACAGCTGTCAAGACATTTTCCACAGAGTTGCTATAATCACAATTAGTTAGCTCTTACCTTTGGATTGTGAACTGAATTCTCCCTATTATGTATTAAAAATATTTATATCAGTAAGGCAAGAAACAGGTTTTTCTAGTCAGGTTGCAAGTTTAACTGTGCAAAATAAAATTTAATTTACAAAAGTATAATTGGCTGAAAGTGCTGATTGGTTAGTGATTACAGAAAGAACTGGCAGGAAGGAGATCTCTGTCATTTCAAATAGATGGCATTAAAATTCATTGATTATGAAATAAAAAAACTAGGCATATTATTTCTTGCTACAGTTGAAATGATGTTATATATGCTTGTTTACTTACTTTTTTAGCTGCTCTCAGATTCCCACTGAAAAAAAAAAATCACAGTATGCTTCATCGAAGAAGTTGATGCAGTTATTTTTTTTAACCAGCAGATGGTGTAAATGTTCTACTACATATACTCTGTAAACAGGACTCCTCTCACTTTCGTCAGCTACAGCTAATAAAACAGTGTAGGCTCTACAATGTAAATGTGATGTTCTCTCTACCTGCTTTCTGTCCTGCTACAACTTGGGCTGAATAGAAAAATAAAACAGCACTCACTCTTCCCTGCAGGGCTCCTGCAGGGTCAGTCCAGGCAAGAACTTATCTAACTCCGAGGTAAACGGTGGAGGTGATGGAGAGCACCTGGAAGAACACTTCCGCTGTGAGTCCATTCAGAACCTATCAATAGATACCTTGAATAGTAGTTGAATAAAGTACCTGTGAGGGTGCTGAGAAAAAGGAGAGAAATGTCATCACTTACAGTGTTTTATAAGTTGGAATCAACACAACACAAAAAACAGTACAACACAGTGCAAGTATATCATGCAGGTGTTTACCTGGTCTCCTGGCTGCACATGCGTGGGGCTCTTATCTGTAAAAAAGCAAAAGGTTTGTGATGTTTCAGTGGCACAGAAAGTCAGACAAGTGTTTTCAGTTAACTCTGCTGGGCTGTTTTACCAAGTCTGGTGTTTCTTCTGCCAGGCTTCAGAGCTCTATTTACAGCAGGCCCTGTGTTTCAAAAACAGAAGACAGAAATGCAACTATGGTGTACATTTACTGACGCGTGGTACAGAAGTACAATTTGAAGGTTTCAGGACTTTTTAGAACACTACATTTAGGTGAAGTGTGTAGTTCTAGCTTATTTGGTGGACTATACTGTAGAATGTTTTTGCATTCACAGACAGACATTATGAAAATAGGTTCATACTGTATAGAGTTAAAAATAAAAACTATACCATATAAACACACAACTGATTTGAATATCATCAAGTGACGTTTTATAAGCCCCTAAGCTCAGAAAGTTTAATCCTGTAAAACATTTGCCAATAAAACTTTGAGTTGTCAATTTATAAATGATTTTCATTATACACACTCTGATATAAATTCTACACTGTGATATAAATTCTACTTTTTATACTTGGTTACATTTAACTATATGTTGTTTTTTTGTTGTGGTGTGAGGTTTTAGCCAATAGGCGGAAGAATAAAACCAGAACTACATGGTTTCTTCTGTCTCAATGACTGGTAGAGTTGTTTTTCTGTTAACAAAGAGGTCTCTGTGCTAACATCCAGCAAACAACAAGAAATATTCATATTTGGAACGATGATTTTGTCCACTGTTCCTTGCCTTTGTGTGCTTCTTGTAGCAGAGCTGCTATTATACAGATGCTTTATCAGATATACAGTATTTAATGGAAAACAGCTGTCTACAAAGGTTGAAACAACTGAACTGTGCAATAAATGCACTGCAAAAATAATACAATGAACAAATAAAGTAATTAAAATTAAAATAAAAAAAGAGACTAATATTCCGCAAAGTTATTGGATTTAATGTTAAATACAGCAGTCTGCAGCAAAATAGCAAAAAATTCATAAAGTCAGTAAACAAGCCCAGGAATGTCTAAGCAATGATTCACAGTATTATTTATCTAAAGTTTGTTCATGCTAGTTAATGTCAGACACAATAAGATACTTGTACAACACCAAATAGTACTGTAGCAGCAAAACCAAGGGTTGTTTTGAATTTAGCAACTAAGTGGTGTATTGGTTATAACTTTTCAACTGTAAGTGGAACTATGTGTTATTTTGTTTACCAAAAGTCTTATTGTTGATTCGAGTTCCTTCCACTGCTACTTTCACAGAAATCTCTACCACAAAAATAAATGAAATAATGGAAAGTTTACCTGTAGTACTTTACCTGTACTATGGGGGGTTTCTCTGGGTGGGCATCTAGGCATGATGTTAAAGTTGTCCTGATAATGGTAATAATAATAATAATTATAATAATTATTATACTACTACTAATAATAATAATGATACTACTACTACTACTGCTACTAATAATAATAATAATAATGATACTACTACTGCTATTACTAATAATAATAATAATAAAGTTGATTTATATAACACTAATCAAAACCAGTGGTTATGAAATGCTTTACAAAAAATTTTTTAAAATAAATAAACATACACACATACAGACTTGAGGAAAGCTGTTTAAAAACAAAGATTTTCAGTTTAAAAATACTCATTATCTACAGAAGAGTATTAGGGCCACTGCATAAATTTTTATTAAAATTCTGACTTTATTCTCAGAATTCTGACTTTAAAGTCTAAAGTCAGAATTCTGAGAATAAAGTCAGAATTAAAAAAAAAAAATTATGCAGTGGCCCTAATTAAAAAAAATGTATGCAGTGGGCCGAATACTCTTCCGTACGTCTACCTCCATCACCAGAGGAGAGAAAATATCCTACCCCAGACTGTGAAATGGTATTTTCTAACATAAATTATGAGCCCCAACACAAGTTTAAGTGGATAAGTAACCTCCTGCTAACAGTGGCCCTAATACTCTTCCGTAATTATCAGAAGTGCTATGGAAGAGGAAAAGCGAAAGCCTATTGAGGAAAGCACATCTCCAGAAGTGATTTAAAAGGAATGCCTGATTTTACTGACGGAGTGAAAAGCACTGCACATACAGTATAGTATAAGCAGAGACTCATACTAGTTTACCAATCTAAAGAAAACGAAATAGAAACCTTACGGTGAAGGGTGACGAAAGGCTCTGAGCCGATGACGACCTTGGAAGATCCCTGTCTTGAAAGCAAAAGAAACTGTGATGATCACACTTTCATCAGGGACTGTAATAATAGTACTTTCAGTAGCAGTGTTAGTTGACAATTTAAACACCCGGTGAGTCTGTATCGTTCTTGTAACTTGCCAGCTCCAGCAGCACACAGCAGCAGCAGGCTGTATTGATTACAGAGGGAGAACACTCCAAGTGAGAACACATTTAAAAGCCACAGTCGGTGTAAAAATGTGGATGTGCAGCTGTGAGGGCCCTGGCTGTGGGCCGCATCCATGGAGCGAGTCTATTCACACTACATGCTTCCCTCTCTCTGCCTTCGGCTCCTGGCTAATTGTAATCTCCTGCAGTCTGACTTGCCAACAGATGACTCTGGAGACCCAATGGCAGATCATGCTCACTCAGTGTGAGCGCTCTCTGTCAGATCCATACTGCTTTTACTTTTGCCACAGTCTGCAGTGGAGCTGTTAGTTTTTGTCTGCACTTCATTTAACTTCACTCTAATTATGTTCAGCTGGGTTTTTCTTGGTAGAGACGTTTGTCCAGCAGAGTGTCAATGCTCCTTTAAGTCAAAGTTTGGACGAGTTTGTTCCTTCCAATAAATTTTTTTCTGTTTTTTGAGTGTATTTATAAAGTATTTTTTAATGTACGTATGTGCTGTGTTTTATACATTAACGCAGACAGGAATAATGAGTGTCTGATGGGGGGCTGAAATACATCTAAAGGTCAGAGTCACTCCTACAGACGGACCGAATTACTCATAAGTCTCAGCTCCTGTTAGTGACAACGGCAGTTTTGTGGTTTACTCAGCTTCACTGTCAACAAGCTTATGAGTTACAGTGTGCATTAAAATCTAAAAAAACTGCTCAGAGCTAAAATAATAATGACCAAAAACCATTTAACTGCTGCTGACTTGCATAACCAAAGGTATGTTTAGTTTCATGTTTTTTATGTGCAGGGTAAATGCAAAGTAATATACTCTTTCATATCTTTTCTAATTAAAAGTCTATGTAAATTTGTGTTAAAATAACAAAAACATATAGAAAACATAAACATAAGAAACAAAATTAACAAACTAAGATCTCCTAAAACCTGTGACTCATCTTGCTGTTTTCGTTTCTACCTGCATACTCTCTCTCATCGCTTATGGGCCTCGCAGGAAATATGCGCACATTTGACATTTCCTCCTGGTCATCCACCACATCGTATTCAGGCTCGTCGATGTTGTTACCACACCTTTGATTTCTGTGTCTGTCTGTTCTGCCACGATGCTGTGAAGAGAAAGTTGCAGTATCTTCAAACTGGAAATGTACAGCAGATAAACCTGTGACTTTGTTAAAACTGGATGTTTATGAAGCTCAGTCCCTTTGTCAAAATCCTTGCATCACATTTATTCAGTATGTCATAAAATAAAGAAATCATCTCTTTTAATGCTGGCCTAGAAAGACTGCTTTTAATTATAATCTCATTTTTCATTCATTATTTATTGGGAAAATATATACTAATCTGCCTTGAAACAAGAACATCAGTAGAGCTTGCAATCACATTTGAGTTTTGCTCCTGGTTTACATCAGCCAATATACTGCACACGTACAGCAGTAGACAGCTGCATCTCTTACGCCTATACAACACTAACAAGCACAGGAAGCTATTATGAGGTGTTGCAACCTTACCCACTTCTTGTCTCTCTGGAACATCTTTTTAAAAGCTTCACTCTTCACAATCACACAGGTGGCTTAAGCACATATTTATAGTTAGCCATAAAAAAAAGTGTCTGTCTGTGACACCATGTTGAGTCTAGGTTGGCTTTTCCCAAGAGGAAATTGTTGTTTTTGCTCGACAGGTGAACTGTAACCAACACCCATATTTGGCCACAGGAGGGAAATGTTCATTTTGGAAGTGCGGAGACTGTTTTCTACAAAGTGTAATGATACACCTTACTGAGAATGTTTAAAAGACAATTCATACACTAACTGCATGCTTGTCTTTGTATGTGAACAATTTCTCATATTTAATAAATAAATAGTCTGTCAAAAACACTTGACAGAAATGTATTACATTTAGCCTTGCGGGTACATGGTGCTCATTGGGGAAAAAATTACAAAGACAACACAACTTTATGTGATTTTGAAGGGTCAGTATGAGGGGGTCCAGAGATAAACGATAACATCAGAAAAAACATTTGTCACTGCTGTGTGATGCATTTCTGTAAGAAAAGCTTTTCATAAAAGTGCATATAAAATTGTAAAAAACACTTTTTTAAAACCTTTTGTTAAGTTTTTATTGTTCATATTGATAATACAGTACCTTGTTTGTTACTTTTCTATATAACACTGAGTGCCTTGTTTCTTATCTTATCTTAAACTAAGGTTTCTGTTTGTTTAATGTCACCACTTTTCCTAGCAGAGATGAATAAATAACTACAGTCTATTCTAAATCTAAATAAGAAACAGTGGCTATAACTCTTCCTCACATTACATTAACATATTTTATGAGCTTGTATTTGAGAGATAATTACTGTATAAATTCAAGAAGCTAAAATAAATAAATGGAAATTAACTGAAATTTTATTTCATAATTTAACTTTAAAAGAAAAATTAATGAAACCAAAATCAGCAGCTGTTACAGAGAATAACCCCAGTCTGCTCTGTTTTGCTGTGCACTAACAATGACAGAGCAAAATCTCCCTCTTTACTCATTTCTGTGCTAAATGATCATTATCAGGGGGCTGCAGACTCCCAGTTTTTCCCATGGGAAATGTTCATGTGGAACCAGCAGAGACATACAACATGGATACAGCAGCCATAACTCACCATTATCACACCAGAGTCATGGTTGTTTCCTCTCTCTGCAGCTAACAAGGGGGTGAAACAGAAACGAGAAACATAATTAGTTTGGTGTAATACAAAGGATGTAGCGTTCCAATAGAGTTTGTTCTTGGACTTTTCTTCACCTTCTGTTTCACATACAGCTAAACAAAGCTGTTGTCACCAGACTCCTCGGTTTATTGATCTGGAATTACATTTTTTATGTCCACTGGAAAGAAACTATATCTGAATTTAATACAAATATTTTTTCAAAATATTAACAGATTTGTTATTTTTTTATTTTGTATAGAATTTTTATTTCATTAAATTATCCTTACATTATATATATACTGTAGCTGTAGCTTTGTTTTACCAGAGCAAAGCATCTAACTAATTCCTTTTGCTGTGTCAACAGGTACAACAGGATGTCATCGGCATAATGCATAAACATGTGCTGTGCTGGAAAATTATGACATATTACACAAAAGATTCATACCCTGTCCCTGTCACATTTTGAAGGATTGTGACAAGTTCTCTAATAATGTATTGAGGAAATGTTATCAATTCCACATTCGGCAACATATTAGTAGAACATTCACTAACATTGTATATTTTTTCCACCAGAAAATACAATATTAAAGTACGATATCCACTAATGACTACAGCACTGTTAATTCTTTTGACTATGCTATGTTTAGTCACTCACAACTCACTTGGTTATGTGTAGTTTTTTTTTGTCGTGGTCTAGTTTTAAACAAAAAAGGTTAACAAGTATTTACATTTAACCAAAATCATGAGGGGTCTCTGGCTTATAAAGTGATTCTGTGGCCGAACCCTAAGATCAAATTGCAATCAAGCCAGCATTTAGGTTTGTTACAGCTGAGGTAACTGATAATTGCTAGAAGATGGGGTTGAAAACATTAAAGACACAGTCAGTCGACTGAAGGTGTTTTACAACAGGCTCACATGATGAGAAATCTAATCAGAGTAGAACTGGAAGCAATAACCAATAAGTATTAATAAACAGGTATTCGTTGGATGCAGATGCAGCATTATTATCAAATACTGCACTGAATTCAAGCGAAAATATCTCTTCACTTAATTCACTAGAAATGCTGTCAGTATTCATCTCAGATAACCTCTCTCTAGTGCTAGTTTTTGCATTTTGTATTTACATTACTTATCTTAAATCTACCAGATATCAGTCAAGTGGTGGGTAACCCAAACAAGAAAATGAAAATTGTTTTCTCTATCCATAATATTACATACTATATTAAAAGTATGATATATTATCCATACTACTATTTTGTGTGTGTGTGTTTATTGCTAAGATATGTTGCATCATATGGTCCAAGGAAGATATAATTCTATCTCTACTGTACAATAAAGCTCCCTCTCTCTATTCAGTTATCAATAAATACAGATCCATAACAAATTTGTTATGGTGTGCAAATGGTCTACAAAACTGTGAAGTTTCCAGAGTTGATGATCATTTACTTAACTGATAACCTGGGGAATCAGTTCAAGTCAGCAGGGACATTTTTTATAAATAATTTTTGTAATGTTGTGTCTTTATCTGACAGTCAGTTGAAGAGATAAGATAATCATTTTATTTGGCCAAATATATTACACACAAGGAATTTGTTTCCGGTACAGAACCGAGGCAGCCATCCGCGGCGCCAGCTTGGGGTTTGGTGTCTTGCCCAAGAACACTTTGACATGTGGACTGCAGGAATCAAGCCTCCAATCTTCCGGTTGGACGACCACTCCAACCCCTGAACCACAGAGAAGTGGACAGGAAATGGAGAAGACCAACAAATGTCACTAGCCAGACGCAAACCACTGACATTGTGCACAAACCACTCAGTTGTCAGTGTGCCCCAGTAGGTTCTTAGCTTGGAGTTGTGCTGCTGCATGTGATAACTCAGCAAGTCCTGCTTCGTTAAAGGTTACAGACTACACAAACAGTAATCAAGTTGGACAATGAAGCAACTGAATAATAAAAAGAGGGTCACTGTACTTTGACTTTCACATAAGTTCTCTGTGAGTCTCTGCTGAGACTAATACATGGGCCTTTGTGGATCATGTAGTTTTTTAA